CGACTTGGGTCATAACATAACAACAAACAAGTCAAATCAAATAACACTCAAACACCTAAAACTTGTCGGCCTAAAACTCACCAGAGCTCAATGCATAGTGTCCCTAATAAGGACGATAAAAAACGCTTTTCAAACGTTGTTCAAAAACGCCACGTCTGCCTAAGAAGCCCGAAAAACCCATCAGTTGCCGCTAAACCCAAAATAAAATTAATTTTCCTGATTAGGAAACCTTATTGATTGAAATCTATCGACGTTTATTCTTGCTTATGCTGAGCTTGCAAAGCGCATCTTGCCCCCCGAAAAAAGGAGCTTAAATCGGCTCGTAAAGCCATCAAGCGATTACTTGGGCCTTTAAAAGATTACCGGATTAGCCAACTTCAAAGTCTAGCAAACGGTCCAATTAATTGGATATTAGAAAACCCGAATATAATCGGTTATGGAGGCTTTGATTGGTTGTTTTTGCAATTTAAAGTTTGGCGGAATCCTTCAAGCATTTGGCCGGGATAAGTGTAGTTAAAGCGCTGAAAAATGCTCTTTTGTTCATTGTCCTGAACGCATTTGATTGCCAGTTTTCCACACTGTTTTGGGGCTCTAGAGACAATCAAATGATCAAATTGCGATTATTCTGCCCCCTTTTATGGGAAATAAATTGAACAAATGGCGCCTATAGCGAATGCTTAACAAAACACGATGGCGGTACCAATTTAGCGGCAGATTTGCTTGGAAACCGTTCATTCGGGGAAACAATTACACCTTTGCCCTGCGTCAAGTGGGGAAATGTAGTTTTCCATTATCTTATCGGCGCAATATTGGCAAATATTCCGCTCACTACAACTGATAATGATTTTCCCGGATCCGCTCGATTCTAGTCAGGAACTCTGGAAAATTAAGCCAATCTTCCTCTAAGCGCTACCGGGTGTTTCATGTTAACTTGTCAAGTTTTTGCGCCCTCATTCGAAGAAAACGTGCCCACCTAACCGATGGAAAAGCGAGAATTTTCAATAAGCATTTGACTCGGACTGGAAAGTGTTTTACGTGACGCACTTAGGCATAAACGGCGCAAAAACTGTATGAATTGACCCAATCGCGCATTCCCCGACCGCTCAGATTGACCAAAAGCCAAAAAATAAAAGCCATTTCGCCCTAATCAGTGCGCCAGATGGAAAACGCGCTAATCAAATCAAGCTCGATCAACCGCCGGATTCTCGGATGGAACTTCACTCTAAACACCTGTTTGAACAATTCTCCGCCACTACACTTCACTCGCGGACTTCCTGCTGGTTCTGCGAGCGAAAAAGCCCGGATTTCTCCACTGCGAAGCACCAAAAGTGTTCTCTTCTAGCGGTGGCTGGCAACAGCACAGTTTCAAATCGCAACACCATCGCGAACATTCAGACAAAACGCGTCGCGACGCCCTGTATATGGAAGAGACGCCATGTTCGCACCGGGACGCCGAGCGATCAACTGAATTTCCAGCTGGAAAGCGTGCGTTTCAGCTGAGGGCAGATTTTCAGGAAACTGTTGCGTGCCGTACTTGATGGACCGGTGTTTTGATTAGCTCACCACTAGGCTTTTTTGCCTGGCAGTTTCATTAAATCTGAATTATTCGATGTAACGCACGTGCCGAAAGATTCTCTAATGGAAATCGCCTCAATTGTTTCCTGCATCAAGCTTGCATGGTGATTGCCAGTTTTGTGACACAAAGCTTTGGTAAGCGTCGAAATTCATTCCGAATGAGTATCTGGAACGCAACAGCGAAAGGAAAATGACTCAAAATTTGCCAGCCCGAGTTTGGAAAAAGGGTTTCGATAGCATTCGCAACGGTTCCAAACCGTTCGCCAACGCTCGCTCTGTACAATACAATCACAGACGAAACTGTTTCAAGTCATTTCAAGAGTTTTTGGCAAACGATCGCTTCTCAAGCTACAAGATGTTCTACAATCAAAACTGTTTTTTGAAATAAATCTGCAAATTTTTCGCATTTGATCGCCTGGGTAACACTGTGTTGAGTTGCGCAATTGAGTCGTTGCCGCTCTCTGAGTTAACGAGTTATAACTCATCGGTTCCTGACTTATCAGTGATTTATTAAAGCTTTACGAGACTCTGTCTCTAAACAGAAAAACTGGCAAACTGAATAGTTTATGCAGAAAAATAAAGAGATCGGTTTTTTCGTTTTTCTAGACTAGAATTTTCAGAAAAAGGTCGTTAACATTTTTTCTGAGTGCCCGGCATTTGCAACAAAAACTCGACGAAGAAGCGTGATGAGTTTTGCATTGAAAAGAAAAAGTTTTTAATTCGCATTCGCCACTTTGTCCAGACATGATCACATTGTCACTATCCAATCTGTTCTAATTAGTAAACTTAATTAATCACACTACATTTTCCACTGAGAAGTTCAATAGCTAAATTATCTTTGAAAATCCGGCCTTTTACCGACAACAGGTGAAAATGGCATAATTATGAAATGTCTTCAGCATTCTTTCGCCGTGATTCCACAAAAACCACTAATCAAACGGCCATTAATGGTGCAATGAAATGTGGTTCTAATTCACATTTCATCAAACCCAACATTCCAGTTGGCTCTTCATTTCTTCGTGCATATATGAATGAAGGTCAGCCAGCACACAAGAACCGCAAGTTCTTTATAACCGCTTGGCATTTTCGTTTGCCTTCCAGTTTAGTAACTTTTCAATCATGGGCAAGATACCGTGCGTTTTCCTGCTCTTGGGTTTAGTTGGTGAGTTTTCGACAATTTGCTCCTTTTCTTTGCAAGGAATGTTCTGGTTTAATATTGGGGAAGTTTTACAGGAAATTGTGTGGAAAATATCGGGTTAAAACGGTGAAAACCTTTGCACACGGGCAAAGTTACGGCTGCTCACAGCAGTGTTTTAGGCAAATTCATTGCGGGGAAAATTGGGGAAAAAGTCGTGATTTCGAATGGAATTAGTGACTCGCAGGTTTGGGCCTCCACAAGGCAGCACAAAGCAGTTGACCTTTGCAATCTTTAATCCAAGCGACAATTTTATTTCAACTTTCACAAACTCATTGTTTGCTTGCCATTGCGCGCACTTTACGAGGAAATACTTATGCAAATTTTCGATTATTCTGATTGTTTATTGCAATATGTTTCGTCCACACATTTATCACTGTAAAACGTTTCGGAAATCGACGATTAGTCGACTTTCTCTTGGGCTGCTTGCAAGATAAACAGCTGACGTATGAATTAGAGAAAAAAACGCGAAAAATTCTTATGCAATTGACCAGAGTTGGTTGGATTTTTTGCAGCTATTTCCCATGCAGCCTCCTCAAGGAAACCAGCGAAAAAGGAGCCAGTTGAAGATGACGCGCTCACTTCAGACGAATGTCCTGAACCAACTGGATATTTCGCCGATGCGGAACAATGCGACAAATATTACCAGTGCCAGGATGGAGTAATCACCGAAAAACTGTGCCCAGATGGACTGGTCTTTAACGACTACAGCACTGAGTACGAAAAGTGCGATTTACCGTTCAATATCGACTGCAGTGCCCGTCCTAAGCGCCGTAAGTTTAAGGAGTTTAACTGGAAAAGTTACTATAAAAAAATTGAAAATTTCTAGAGGAACCTCAGCCTTCCGAGCACTGTCCAAGGAAGCACGGCTATTTCGCTCACGAAGAGCTGCACGTTTGCGACAAATTCTATTACTGTGTGGATGGAAAGTTCAACATGATCACCTGCCCTAATGGTTTGGTTTACAACGAAAATGCGGGCATTTGTTCTTGGCCGGATGAAGCCAAGAGGAAAGGATGCGGATCAGCAGGTAAAACAGCTAGAAATTTACATCATGGTGCAGTAGCGTTATTTCTCTAAAAATTGCCAGGCTATTTTTGAAATCCGCATCTGAATATCCTCAATTGCTCATCATTATCTGATAAATACGTATACAAAAACTATATATTTTTTTGCAATAAAACTGATCAACTCCGAATCTTTTGAAGGAATTTCAACTTTCTCTCGCATGCACAAAATTAGAAAAAAGTCGTTTTAAAACCCGAAAACCGGCAATTTTCTAACAATTACAAGGCAAACAGGAACTTGTCGAAGCCACTCTTGAAAATTTTCCATGGACTTTTTGCAGAGGTCTTCCAGTTCGACTGTCCGAAGGTGAATGAAAGCGAAGGAGCGACCCACCCAAGATACTCCGACCCTGAAGACTGCCAGTTCTTTTACGTTTGCATCAATGGAAACACGCCCCGAAGAAATGGCTGCAAGCTGGGCCAAGTCTTTGACGATGTGAGCAAGAAGTGCGAATGGGCGAGGAACGTGCCCGAATGGTAAAGACGCAGGCAATTCAACTATGAGAAAACCGAGCTTAATTGTTTGCAATTTTCAGCGCTGACTGGTACAAAGGCCGTCTGACCGACCAGCAGCTGAAGGATTTGGAAAATCCACCCGCGCCCAAGCCAAAGGCCACAAAGGTCTCAAAGAGAAGGAACAGGCCGCGACCACAACCGGTGGATGAGGAATTAGATTAATGATTTCAAAGACTAGGTACTACTAATAGAAATATTAAGTGTTTAAATAAACCCTACACAACAATTGCCAATTTTGGTGTTTTCCAGCAAGGAAGTTGGGACGAAGGAAGAAGGGAAGTTGGGACGTGTATACAAAAAACTCACTGAATTTTATACAAGAAAAATATATTAAACTAAATATTTCTTACTTTCTACCTCTGAGCAGCATTAAAGCCAACTCTTCCGTTTCGTTTACATTTAGGTCGGCAGTTAGTTGCTCGACCCGTTGCTTCCTTTTCCGCTTCAGCACCGTTTCCAGATCATTCACCCCTTTCTGCTTCCGCTTCTTGCCCCTAAAAATGCCAAAAACTCATCAGCAATGCCCTAAAAAACCCTAGTTGATCTACTGACCTTTTGTCCGTTTTGGCTTTGCTGCTTCCTGGTTCTTTTGCGTCTTCGCTCTCGTCCAATGCCGATGACAGTCTACTTTCAGGGCCGTTTTCTTCGTCTGAATCTGCAGGCTGCTCATACACTTGGTCGGGATCAGGAAGCCACGATAAGTCAGGGCCTACAAAAAACCGTTGAGCAAAGTGGAGCTTAAAGTAGCTGTGGGAAGTGTTCACCTTCATCCTCGTCGCTCTCTCCAAACTCGTCCCTTTCTCCCTCTTGCTCCTGCTGTTTGAGGGCCTTCAGGCGCTTCTTCTCCTCTCTGTGTTTGGCCTTAACTTTATCCTTGAACACTTGCTTATCAAACTTGTCCTCTTCCCTCAGCACCAGTTTCGCTTTCTCAATGTCTGCAATTTTAATTAGACAATTACTGTATGTGCAATCGGATTTTTATACGAGTTTTACCTATTCCGCCCGCATCCTCTTTCTCATACTCTCTGCCTAAATCGGACTTCTTTTCCTTCGTTCCATGCACCACAGCGCTCTTTCCCTCTTCATCAAAGGTAATTTTCGTGTTGGCAACGATTTTCTTTTTTATAATTTTCTTTACTACTGCTGCTTTGGTGATGGTTTTCTTTTTGCTAGTGCGTTCTGATCCGGGCTCAAAGTTTCCGATTCCAGACGGCGTTTCAATGTCATGATCCACCCTTTTGAGCTGTAGCATATTGCTGTCGTCATCCTCGCTGTCTGATGTAAAAAAGTTGCCCCCCAGGCCGCGGTTTGCGCCTTTTCCTCCATCGAATTTGAATGAAGCAATATTCGTGTCGCTTTCATCAGACTGGTAGCCCTCTTCCGGTTCAGACTCACTTTCCTTGGATTTCCTTTAAAAAACAACATTAACAAGGCCTTTGAAAGTGATCGGATAAACTTACTGCTTGATGCTCTTTTGGGCTTCCTTGGTTTCAGCTGGTTGCTCCTGATCGTCGTCGCAGTTATCGAAGTACGTTTTGTTTTTGCTGCCACTCACCAAGCTTTCCAGCTTGTTGGCCACCGCACTATCGGCGCCTTGCTGCAGTTTCTTGTTCATCCTACTCAGAAACCGGATTCTGGGCGGCACTGCCAGTCCCAAACTCTTGGAAAACGCGTCGAAATCCAGACTTTGCACGTTGAAAACGTCCTTGTTTTTCATGAAGAAAACCGCTCTGGCATAGTGGCTTACAGCCCGCTGCGCGGTGTCTTTCAATGTGGTGTCCATAGCCAGGAAGGCTTCGAGTTTTCGAACTGGATTTTGCACCTTAGTCATGTTGATTCTGAAACCAGTTTCAATAACGCCTCTTGAAGTTGCTTAGCGTGTTGGCACTTACTCTATTTTTTCCACGGGAATTTTCTTCTCCTCCAGGCGTTCCACCATTTTTAACTCGCTGGGCAACAGTAGGAGAAGACTTTCTCCGCCTTTGTAGTATCGAGCGGTTCGTCCCACTCTGGAATAAATTAGCTTCATTGAAAAGTCCACAGTAACACAAGTGAAAATGTGCCACTCACCTATGAATGTACGTCTCAACATCCTCAGGACAGTCTGCTTGAACCACCCAGTGCACTTCAGGAAAGTCCAGGCCTCTGGCTGCTAAATCAGTGGCGAAAAGTATTGCAGACTGTTTTCGGCAGAATTCCTCGTAGATTTTCATGCGCCTTAGTTGGTGGAGAGTGCCGTAAAGCGGCAAGAGACTCAACCCAGGCCTCAACCTAGAAGCAATTGGTTCAAACAGCAGCCCTTTGCCTGGCTAGATTAGACTTACTTGCAGATGATTTCATAGAAAAACTTGACTTGTTTGCAGGTGGAGAAGAATATGATTGTCTTCTGTTTGAGATGGTTTTTGATGAAGCTCCAAAGGATTTGCAGCTTGTCTTGAAGCTCGCAGATCACATAGCTTTGCTCCAGCCCCTTTGGAGTGGTCATCTCATTTACGCTCACGTATGAGGGGTCCTTTAGGCTCAATCTACAAGCGGATAAGTAAAAACACTGTCCATGAAGCCCAGAGGGATTAAACCTACCTGGCCAAGTCTTTAACCGACTTGGTTTGGGTGGCAGAAAAAAGCAAAGTTTGGCGCATTGGAGGCAAATTGGCAATAATGGCGTTCATGGTTTCCTGGAACCCCATGTCCAAGCATCTATCAGCTTCATCAAGCACCAGAATCTTCATAGTGACACAGTCAAACAGGGGGTTTTCGTCCATGTGCTGCAGCAAACGCCCAGGGGTGCAAATGACAATGTTGCACTGATCCATCCTCTTCCTCTCGAACTTCAGGTCTTTGCCCCCAATGATCAAACCAGCTGAGAAGTCGTGGTACTTCCCAACTTTCTTCAGAGCCTCAAATATCTGATAAGCCAACTCTCTGGTAGGGGTGATAACAAGAGCGCCAATGCCATCCACTCTGGACCATTGTTCGCAATATAAGCGCTCCAAAACAGGCAGTAGAAAGGCCAAGGTTTTGCCTGAGCCTGTCTGGGCAGCCCCCAGAATATCTTTACCTTGCAACGCCAAAGGTACGCTGGCCTTTTGAATGTCGGTTAGCTTGGTGTATTTTGACTCTTTCAGGCCCTTGATGCTTTTATGGCTCAGGGGCAAGTCCACGAATTTCTCCACTTTACTCACGTCGATCTACAAAGAGAATTTATGAACAAAACTGTATAATAACAACGTGGTTTGTTTCTCACCGTGTCGTACTGGGACTTTAGGTTTTCAATGAGAACACTTTCAGGCTGCCCAGTTTTCTTTTTCTTTGTGAACGCCTTTACGGGTTTCTTCCTTCTGTGGTTCTTCGGGCCTTTGCCTTCGTTTTCCATGGTTTAAAATGCCAAAAAAGTTGAAATCAACGGCACTTTAAAACAATCTTCCTAGCATGGGAAATTGAAGGTTATGTCTTATCCATAGATGAAGACAAGTGACAAGTGGTCTTGTCTGGCTCTAGTCTTTACTAATAGGCTTGTTGCCACTTCTCCGGCGCAATTAGGAGCGCTTCTGCCCGATTTTTCTACTTTTTTCCTTGACCAAATCAACGGAATTTATTTAAAGGACAGCCATAACACCAAAACAGTGAAATCCCAGTCTGGTATAATACCGCATTGTAATTTGATAGCATATAATTGGACAGAATGTTCACTGTCCACTGTACGGTGCTTCAGAGTTATCCACCACTGATTATTCAAGTTGGCAAGTGTCAATTCCCAAATTTGCAAGTGTTTAAGTTGTCAACAAAAATCTGTTTTCTTGGTTTTCTCCCTGATTTTCGGCGTTTCTAACAAAAGCCATGGCCGATATTAAAGTAATAACGTCGGACTTTGCCAACCTGCAAATCTCCACCCCGAAAATGGACATATCGTTCGGAGACAAGCGTTTTCCTAAGGACCTAACCATATCAGACTTGAAGGTGGGTGAGGCCACAAATGTGTGAAAAATGCAGATTTTACTGCATAAGATCAACAAAACTTATATGTTCTTTCTAAGGTGACTTTCAAGCACCTTTGGGCTTTAGTAAAATGCCTCATTAATAATTAAACACTCATCAGTTCATTTGCCTAGAGTTCCCAAGGCAAAGAACTAAAGAATGTTCTTTGTCTTATAGGCAAAATTAGAACTAACGACCGGCGGCAGCTGCCAGACAATGAAAATCGAACTATACAATAAGGATAACAAACTAGTAGCTTCATTAGACGATGACAGCCAAGTTCTGGGTTTCTACCCGGTTGAAGATGGAATGAGATTGCATGTGGTCGACAAATTCCTGTTGACCAATGAGTTCGATGCAGAAAACGTGCCTAAATTCGAATTATCTGAAGACGAATATGCTAAACGAGGCGACACGGTCAAGACATTTCTAATGCGGAATAAAATGGGTAAGTTTCCCAATCAACCAAATGCAGTTTAGATGCACTTGACTGCTCCTTTAACCAGGAAAGTACAATGATGACTATATGAAGAATAAGGAGCAACAGGAGGCACAGGAAAAAGCTTTGGCAGATAGTATTAAAGTGGGTTCCAGATGCAAAGTAACCGTAAGCAATGTCCCAACCAAACTGGGCACGGTGATGTATTCCGGCAATGTTGATGGCTTACAAGGCACTTGGATTGGGATAAAGTACGATGAACCAGTAGGCAAACACAATGGAACGTAAGACATCCATAATTGTTTAAACTGTTAAAAAATCGCTTATTAACGCGAAATTATTTAGGGTAAAGGGCAAGAGCTACTTTCAATGCCCGGACAAGTACGGCGGCTTAGTAAAACCTCAATGTGTGGAAGTTGGGGACTTTCCAGAAGAGGACTACTACTTGAATGAAGAGCTCTAACTTTACACAGCCGAAATATTCGAAACTAGTTTTGCTGGCAAGTAATGTTTTTACCACACCAAACATTTATTTGCAGCCAATTTTTGCAAAAGGCTTATTTTTACAAAATATCTACTCAACAAAGCAATTGCTGTGTTACATTAAGGCCGTACAATAATTTAATTTATTTTAACACTTTGTAACTGCTTTCAAATTTTTGTGGTTTATTCTTAACTTAAATATATTACTTAATTAAAAAACTGACTGATTGGTAACTAGAAACACTCAGCTTTAGTTAAACTATTTAATAAACACTCTCATTTACCTGTTTTGCAAAATGCGATGAATTTATTGTAAAATTCCCCACTAAGAATTCACCTGGATTTCTATTTTAATTAACAAACTGTCCCTCCAAATGAAACTGTCCAACATTTGCGCTTCAACCTTAAACATTTTTTCATCGTTTTTCATTCCGTACAGTAAGCGGGAAGCAATTTGGCTATGCTGATTTATTTGCCCTAAAACGTAAAACTTGTGCTTCTTTAAGAACGAACTGCTTTGAGGTTTCATCAGCAATCCGATCTGTTCGCCGACATAGTTTGGATAAAATTGCAGAAAAATCGTGTGGCCTAGAAAGTGTAAAATTATCACTAGCAACAGTTGCTTTAAACAGTTAAAGTACCTAGAAGCGAAAATGGGGGGCTGGAAATGTACAGATCAGTTTTTCGCAAAATCTTGCTGATGCCCTGCAGTTTCCAGTAGTAGAAATACAAATCGCCCTGGTCAGTTTCCACTATTGTGTCGTTAAAATTCGCAATTTCCTCTTGTGGACTTTGTAATTGACTGTTCATTTCAACTGCATCATCTTCTAAATGGGGCTCAATTGGTAACTGAGTTGTTGAGGCTTCTCTAACTGTAGTCGCATCCAATTCCAGACTTTTATACCGTATATTTTCACCGTAGATCAAATCCAAGGCGTGTTTAATATTTCGCAGTTCTTGCTGAAGATACGCGAATTTTCTGTTGACCTCACCTAAAACACGCAAACTTTGCAGCAGCCATCCAATTCAAAGAGACACTCAACCTACTTGAAGAACAAACACCTTTCAGCTGCCGCGTTATCGTAGCTTTAGCCGTCGCTTCGATTTCTTTGGTAACCACTTTGCAGACCGCAAATTGTGTTTCAAGCGGCAGCCCTTCTAAGGAACATTCTTCTGCTAGATGCAACTTACATTGAACACTTTCTTACCTTGCAAAGGAACGTTCACCACAGGTTTAATCAATGAAATAAGCACAAGGCAGGTCCAGAAACTCAACATTTTTCTACAGAACTTTGGCGATTTGTGCGGGTTATTAACTCGCTTCTTAAAAATAGGCCCACGGTTTAATTTGAAGCATTCCCGTTTTATAGGCTAGTTGTAAAAGTGCAACGTAAACAGATGATTGCATTGCTCAACTTGCACATCTGAACATAAACTGCCGAAAAAGTCTCGCACAAGCAATCAGATGCATTCTCCATGTTTCCGTGGAAGGATGGAGAGATGGAAGACGCAATTGGGTGGATATCAGTTATTTAATAATAACACACTTACCGGTTACCGAACGTTAAGTACATAAAATTATCCTACATACTTTTTACTTTCATTAGCCGGATTAAAACTGGACTTCCAGCGGTGTCCAGCCATTTCACAATTTGCATTTATTCCCCTTCCTCGTTATAGTAATATAAGGTTGAACCAAGGGGTACATTTCATGCGAACTTTTAAAAGCGGTGATGTCGTCGATTAACTGCGGTTGCACAGCAGGCGTTGTCGAATTTTTCCCATCGCCGTTTTGCACTCCTGCTCCTCCCTCAGCAGTGGAAATAACGCGAACGGCCAGCTTCTTGCGCCTTTTGGCTTCATCCATTAACTGATCCTAAGAATGCGAGTGTTTCAACATGCCTTCCGGACTGATCAACTATTTTAACTTACCTGATAGAAATCAAGAACATCGGATTTAGTTAACGTCCTCAAGTAGGCCACTTCGTCTTCGGCTCTATTGAAATGATACTGTTGAGACGTTATTTCGATCCAGAACTGATTGGTCAAAGCAGCCAGTTGTTTGGGCTTTTCCAGTCTGTGAGCCGCCAAAGCTTCCCTGTGCCTAAACGAACGAGAATCTTTATTTCCAAACCAACTCACCAGCGATGTAATTTTTACCTTAAGAACTCATCTTCGGACATTTCGCTTATGTAATTTTGCATACTCTTTAAAAACTCCTCGATCCTGCCGTCCAAATACGAAGGATGTCGCTCAGATTGGACGATAATCCGAAGACCCTGCACACCATTTGACTTGCGAACTCCGCTAAACACTATGTATCCAAGTTGCTCCTGAAATCAGCGCGCAAGTTTAGCAAGTGTTAATTTGGTTGAAGCTGTTCGCTGGTGTTTACTTTGGTTCTTAGAACGTTGAAACATGGTTCCTGTATCAGCTGGCAAAACAGCTCCAATTTAACGTTGTTTTCTCTGGACTGCAGCCCACATTGGTAATACACTTCAATGCAAGAACTTTTGTGGACCTTGTTTTCCTTCTCGTAGGAATAATGGCAGCCATCCTCCAGTTTCAGCTCGCGATTGAGCAGAAGCTGCCTGGGCAGCAAGGGCGACATATTCATTGACCTTTTTAAAGCACTTTCAACGATTTGAACCATTTCCAAAGCCCTGTCTTTGCTAGCATTGCCGTGCACTAAGCATTCGATGTGCATTTTGGACAACATTTGAGGTATAAAAGCTTCCAGCCGATCCACCGATATTTCTAGGGAAATCACGTTATTTGCGAGGAATGCGGGATGAAAGTCACTCACGGTCTATTGAAGCTAAGAGCTCCTCTTTGCTCCATGAGTGTTCAGTGAGTAGAACTGTTAGATAATACACTGCGTGCTGATAGGGCTGTTCAGCGGAGAAATTCTGCAAGTTCCTGATGTACTATAAAATATGCTAGTTTGAATGAGGTGAATGGACTTTTTTCATAGAACCTCACGTTTTCCTTCCAGATGTGGAATCTTTTGGGGTCAACTTTAAACGTGGTCAATTTTTCCATAATCTTCTTGAGCAGAATGTCCTGCTTGCTGTTATAGCCACCAATACCGAGCTAAGGACATTTCGGAACAGTTGAAAAATATACAAGTAAAAAATGTCTTACTATCAGTCCGTATTTAGTGTTGATCAGTTCCCATTTAAGTCCAGCCAATTCGGCAGCGTAAGCGTATTCGTTCAATTCATCGCGGAATAGTTGCACAAACATGTGAGTTAGATTGCAGTTGAGTGGATCTAAATAAGCCAGCGGACTGACAAAATCGAACATCACATTCGCTTTTGGTAGCAGGAATTTGTTGTCCTGCTTAAACCAGACTCTGGTCAGCGCTGAATCTTCTATGATTACTGGGTTGTCTGATTCCTGCAAGGGTGCACACTGAAAGTATCGTCTGAGCAGCCGATAAGCAAACCTTACTGAATCCTCCTGTTGATATAACGTGAAATCGGTTGGGATGAATTCGTTTTTTTCTGGTAACCTGAATTCTTGGCAGAAGCCAGCGTTTTTCCACTCCTATGAGGGCATTTTTCCATTAGCAATTAACTTAGCTTTCGCTCATTCAGGAACAAACCTTTAAAGTTTCACTAGGGATTTTATCTTCTTTATATTTCGTCCCATACCAGGGCTCAGTTTCTGTGCAAATCGCTGCGTGTGCTTTGGCCACTACAGACAGTCTAAAAACACAACCAAATCCATAAGTTATTTTGTATCCAACGCTTAGCAAGGCACTTGCCTGGCTTTTTCCGGATCGAAATTGTCCCAAACTTCTTCGATAAGATCGGGCTTCCATTCACTGAGCATGTAATTAGCGTAAAGAACATCCTCTAGAGGATAATACTAAAAAATGCGACCAGAATTTATAAAATGTGGCTTCAGGGCTTAAAGGACCACCCACCTGCAGGCTATTTACAATGTTCGAAATGTACGATCTCGGCGATTCCTTGTCCTTAAATCGAAAGATCATGTTCCCAATGTCGCGATTTTCGTCCTGAACCCACTGTTGCGGCTTTTCCCGTTTCATCATGTTGATGTACTGAAAACAAACCGGCTCGAGCATCAAAACCTTTGCTATTGGCGTTAAAAAAAAGTGCATACCTGGAAGATCAATTTTACAATGTCGTTAACATGCTTCAGGCCTTCTTCAGTTAGATCCACCGATATGCCGAAGAAACTGAAGCCTCGAAGGCTCGTTCTTTGGCCGGCAACCAGACTATTCGACCAGCCTCTCAGTTTCAGAGCTGATAAAATGCTGCCGGGTCCTTCGTGGCCAATCAAATGACTTATGTATTGAGGTGGCTGAAATTAAATTACAATTTATCGGTGAAAATGTACATTAAAGTGCTAAAATATGCCGTAAGCGCATGTTTCGCCGAAAAAGGGGCGCGATTTAACGCTCTATCAAGCAATAAAAATTGTAGCTGGACCGGTTCTCTACGCTAAATACGAGCCAACAACTAAGAGCGGTTCTGAAAACCCGGATTATTTTTTTACTTTTTGCATTCTGAAAACCCGCTTTAATTTTGAATTTTTGCATTTAGCGTGAAAACCAGAAAAAATTCTAAAACAATGTTTGATAAAAAAAAAGGGCACAATTTAACGCTCTATCAAGCAATGAAAAATTGTCTTCACTCTATTCACCCGTTTTCACATTCGAACCCGGACTATTATTGTCAAAGTCAACCCGCTAGAGCTTGCAGTTTTCTTCGCATTTACACCCGGCCTACTATTGATGTCAACGTCAAACATTACATAACCCTAGTTAACCCAACCCAGTAAACAATGTTGAACTTGAATTAAATAAATCTCATTAATTTAACCGATTGCGGGGCTAAAAACGTAAAATAACCCAATGGAATGCATAGACAATTATGAACATTTGAGCCCTCAAGTTATGTACTTTGCCAAATGCCTGCCATCGAGAGAAATCGAGAAAACAATGAAACCAACCAGCGTGTTTTGCAACTGCAAAGATTCATGCAGTGAAGAAACGAATTGCAACTGTATTAAGCGAAGTGGAACCAAGTTTTGCTTCACGGACGTGGAGGACTTGGAGTCCTATCGGTTGGTGGCCAAAAGCGTAAACCGGCCGACCTATGAGTGCAATGATCAGTGCCAATGCTGCGCCTCGCTGTGTGGCAACAAATTGGTGCAGTGCGGCCCCAGAAAGGGCCTAGAAGTGAAACTGTGCGAAGATGCACGAAAGGGCGAAGGCGTTTTTGCAGGAGACCCCATCGCTAACGGCAGCTTCGTTTGTGAGTATGCGGGGGAAACAATTTCGGAAAAGGAGGCCTCAATTCGGTTTAAGCTAAACGCGAAACACCGCCGAATGAACTACATCTTTTGCATAGACGAGCATTTCGGCGATAACAGTGTGAAGACCTTCATAGATCCGACGGTGTACGGCAATATTGGCAGATACATTAATCACAGTTGCGACCCAAATTGTTCAATGATTATCACTAGAATTCACGACAACATACCAGTGTTGGGAATCTATGCTTGCAGGGATATTAAAACGGGTGAAGAGTTGAGCTATGATTATGGCATCAGTGATTTATCTGGGGGAGTTGGTGAATTGGAACCAAACAGAACGAAATGTTTATGTGGCAGCACAAACTGTAGAGGGTTTTTACCGTACGACAGTAAAATAATGTAGCTAATGGCAATATGGAATGCGTGCAATACTCACCGCTGATTTGTAATACTGAATATAGTCACCGCAGGGAAAAACAAGGTTCAAGTTCCTCACATCCTTGACTGGGGTCACGTAAACTTGGCTCCCTAGTTGATCGTCCCTAAAGGGGTGTCTTTCCCAGCTATCCGCCACTACTTGCTTGTTTTTAACTAGAGCAAACAGTTCTACTACCATTGCTTCCAGCTCATCCAAAGACTCTGAATCACGGAAAAACAGCAAATATTTAGCGTGAAAACTCAAGGGTCGTTCTCACCCTTTCCCAGTACAGCCAAACACATAATATTGGCTGAGTACCACTTGTCGTGGAACTTGAGCAGTTCATCCCTCACATTAATTCCTTTTTCTTTTAAGGCTGTTTTTAACGTATAGGTGTTGCCTGTTCCGAAAGTATTAAAAGGGTGTTCGGAGTCGCATAAGTGATTCTCCAGCTGGTTCAGCCTCCAGACATCACTGGAAATGTTCTTATCATTCTCCGAATTCACGGCATTAATCTCCCGGTCCGTGGCACTTTCAGTGAATAGTGGAGCGATAAAGAATTGCGCAAACCTAAACCGATGATCAAATATTGAATTAGTGAGAATTTTCTTATTGGGTGTAAACCTGGGTTTACCTTTCCAGGGCATCTGATAGATTACTAGGGATGACGTCGAAATAGTACATCGTATGGTCCATGTAAGTAGTGGCATTTGTCGATCCGCCATGCTCCTGCAGGAACTTGCTATAATCATTCTCATTGGGGTATTTTTCGGTGCCCAAAAACAGCATATGCTCGCAAAAATGCGCCAACCCTTTCACTTCCTTGGGATCGCTTAAAAAGCCCACATTAACGTCCATGGCTGCAGAAGACTTGTCTGTATGCGGGTCACTAACCAGAAGGATTTTCATTCCTACGACAAACCATTTATGTAGTGTTCAGACTGGTTTACTTGCAATTTACTATTACCATTGTTCAATTCCAGGCCCCTGTATACGCGCTTGTCCTCTTGGGATTTGGTAATGTTTTCCACTCTGTTGAGCACTCTTTCGGAAGATTGAGCCATTTTCGGATTGCTCTTGCCCAGCAGAGTAATGGAGCTGAAAGAAGATTCAATTTTCAAGTGATTTAGAATGAGAGGTGTAGTCTGGAGCATTTGAATATCGCCGCGCGTAAACAAATAATGAAGTTCTATTTATAACAATGACCAGAAGGTTCTTCGATGTATTGCTTTGATTTAATGAGGAAATCAACTCGGCTTTTAATGAGGCACGAAGACAAGGTCTTACAGAACGCATCTGCCAAGATTTGCGGTATGAGGCAAATTATTTGAAATGCATTGAATTGGTTAGGTTTGAAGCAGCAAAATGAGGGGGCTGAAATTGCGTAACTGGGCTAATATTGCTCGGGATTCAACACTAAATTATTAGCAAAATACATATGTTAATACGAATTAATGGTATATGAACACTTACCTATAAAAACAGACAGTTTTTATTTTTAAACGACTAGAACACTTGATAAGTAGACCCGTAGACCGTAGAATCGGCATTCAGATTGACTATTTAATATGCCTCACTTACAAATTAATGATCAATATTAAATTAAAAGTAAATAGATATTTTATGAAAATATTAATGTCAGACTTGACACTTCCAGCTTGTCACTAATCCCATGACATGAACAAATGTGGGTTGAGGGGGAAGACATGATAAAGGCGGCAACATCGCGTAAAAAATATATTATTTTTTTTGTTATTGAAATGCATAATAAAGCGCCAATTGAATACAAATAGTTTCCTGGCTTTTTCGTGCATTAAATAAATAATTTAATGAAATTAAACAGTCATTTTCTGCAGGTTCAATTTAAAAAATTGTCCAATTGAATAACGGCATTTTTTGATCAGCTTGTATACAATATATAATGAAAAAAGGGGGCAATTGTACAAATAATTATGAACTCATTTGTACATTCCTTCATTTCTGAGCCCAATTAGCTGACCGATCGAGTGTCCTGCTGCAGAAAATTAAAAAAAAAACCACTTTATAATAACTGGGTAACAAATTCACTAATGTATAAAGACGATCAATATACATTATAAATCTTTGACCTGATTATCCGCAAGATTCACCAGGCTGGGTTCGCTCTCGCTTTTCTTCAGACTTTCAACTTCGTTTTTCGCGCCGACTGTCTCATCGAACTTCAGCTCCTTCTTGATATCAGGCACACTTCGAGTGACTATTTCCTCGCTCAGCTCCATCCTCAAATCCTCGCTGCTGTTTTTAAGTAGCTCCTCATTCAGTCTGGCGTCCTTCAAGTCCACTGTACTATTGGCGAAAATTGCGGCTGCAGCCAGATCGCTGCCAGATATACTAAGCTTCAGCTCGTTATCTTCTAAAACTTAAGCTCAGAATGAGACCGAAACGGAAAAGCCACCAAAGTACCTGAACTGTGGCTTTTGAAAATCGCATGCTGAGGACTGCTGGCGCCGACGTTCCTCAATTTGTCCCGGGATTCCACATTATTCACCGGACTATTTTGCGCTGTCCTTTCCAGCTTATGCTGGGCGATAATCCGGCATGCCATCCCAAAGATGAGGATGGTGTTGAGGATTTTCAATGACCACACCCCCAGATAGCTAAAATTGAAAATTTTCTTGGCGTCGATTTACTTTGTGATCTTCCTTACCCGATCAAGAAGATAATCATTGCAGGTAAGTTGTAAAGATGTATAGCAGAAAATAGCACTCGAGCGCACAAAACCCCCAGGGGAAGAGCAATGAATCCCATTCTCCGCGCAACCAAGTCCGAATGGCCGGAAAAGGGATGTTTTTGCAATTTATGCGTTAGATCGTAAGCTATGCTGGTCCGGTAGTCTTTATAAACGTCGGCATTTAGTTCATTAAATCTGAAACAGACAACATTCGACTTTTTTTACAACAAGAACAACTAGCAAACCTGGTAATAAAGGCATGCTTGATCCAGTCGACTAAAAGCTCAGCTACCAATACAGCAAAACTGTCGAAGATTAGTTGCCAGAGAATGTCGATTTTCCAGTTGTATTCGCGCATTGTTTGGAGAATCACCACGAAAAGTAGCACGACTAGGTGAAACCGTTCCCGGACATCGCTGCAGGACACTTGGAAAAGGTTATTTTTGTCAAATTTCTTAAAAACGCTGCCCTTCAGCTCGACAAACTGGAATGAATTCAAATAATCGATATACACACCTCCAAAGCTGCTTGCAATTTACTCACATTATTAGACATCATTATGGTCAATAGGGCTTTGTTATTGGCATTCACTGCCACATTAAGGGTGGTTGCTTGGAACAGAATCAAAATGCTATGCATTACTGTGCTAAGTGTTAAAGAACCATACTTAAACACTTCATGAAATGATGAAAACTACAATACTGCAAAAAGGATACTGACGTAGATAATGGCGAGAAATAAATGGGGAATCAGCCCCAGATGCTCTCTTTTTCGTCCCCTGGGCTCAGTGGCAGTCCATAGCAATGCATCAATCGTATCTTGGCCCAGAGAAATCAGCAGTCTATCGCCAATATCCAGCATATTATAGAAAATGTAGAGCTTAATCACCGATTGGCTTTTGATCAAATGGTACATCATGTTGGTATCTATTAGCCATAGCACCATGATAGAGACTATTAAAATTACTGCCTTAAGTAGATCACAGATTTCAGCTGGAGATAGAATACGTGGACTTGATGTGTGACTAGATCTGCAAAGAAACACGCAATCTAATAAACCGCGTTAGGGCCAGAAGATAAATTACTTGCCCAAAACATGTTGAAAACAGTCTGGAAACAAGAGCCGATAGAGCGAGAAACACTCTAACTGGCAAATATGTATAAACAAAAAGGAAACTGTCTGTACAGTGCATCACTCCATAGAACAAAAATTTCTCCAGTTCCTTTGGAATTTTCATAAACAGGTAGAATTTCTCCCTGCCAATACTAAACCTTTCCTCGTCATTTTCCAACAGATAATTCCTGGTAACTTCGGTTTTAAGGAATGAGAAAAGAGAAGAACTTCTTTCTGAAATGAAAGCATGATAAAACTATACAAAGTCATGGTCAAAGGCGCCTTTACCTGTTTTTGGGTGGTCCATGTGGGGCCTTTCATCGTTTCCAGCCAAGTTCTCGATATTTTCATCAATCTCCCATGTTTTCGCGGGCTGTCTGAATCGCAGCTTCTTTTCTAAGGCACTGGCCGCTCTTTCCTCCATTATGGAATATCGGAAATATTAAAAATAATTACAACTGCACTGGCTGGTCAAAGATCATCTTCCTAATCTGCCATATTTTTCCTTTGGGCTGAGGCCCTTCTGCAATTATCGCTGGTGGAACCACTGATTTAGATCCTTGGAAGGATACTGAAACTGTCGTAATTTGCACGCTCTTTTCCTGATGGGTTTTTTAATCAAAATATTGATAATTTCCCACACTCGTCTAACCACATTGTTATTATTTACTCTTCACCACTTGGGAAAACGTCAAAACCGACGTCGGCGTTCTTGCCAGATTTTCATATTTTTTCCTGTCAGTCCTTTTGCATTAAAAACACAATTTAGTACTGAATGCTTTTAGAAACTTTCAAGATTTGCAGCAAAGGAAATTCATACAGCTTTATTTTAGTGCAGAAGTCTGGGGGAAAACTCGAAGTCCACAGCCGATGGACAGTTTGGAAGTCACAATTTCTGATAAATAAAATCAAGTGTGGCCACAGCGCTGGGCCATCCAGATTGACAATCAGCTGTTGTGGTCCGAACCTCAATGTGATTTTCAGGGCTTTTTTAACAATAAAAAATAAACACCGGTGTTTTCTGATATTTCATGGTAACAAACACTAACTACTTGCTATGGATAGCAATGAAGGTATGTGTGTAAACCACTTAATCCTGCGTGTAATGTGTGTGGCTATTTTTAAAGTGTTTACTTGCCTCATTCTGTTTACTTGGTGCTCCCTTAAGATATTTTTATGTAAGGCTGTTTGCTAGGAAAAACACATTTGGTGCCAGAAACCATGCATGCTTTTATTAGTAACCTCTAGTGTTACATCACCATATCTGAACCTTTGCAACAGACTTGTTGATGAGTTCAGTTCAACCTTGTCTTTCAGCAGAGAATCGTTCGGATAGTAAAATGCCAGTCAAAAAGGAGTATATCCCTTTAGGCACCACCATACATGAAGAACAACCTTTTGTGTATGTTTTGAGTTCGAAATTTCGCACTGAGTGTTGTGATTTTTGCTTTAAGAAGTAAGTGTTTGGTCGGTGGTCACTATTTCCCTCTGGCCCTTGTGATTTTACTGGAAGTGTTTCAGATGGGCTCAACTATCGAAATGCTCAGCCTGCAAGTACGTGTACTATTGCGGAAAAGCATGCCAAAAACAAGGGTGGATGGTGCATAAATATGAATGCCACAATTTAAAGAAAATTGCTCCCAGGATCTTGCCTGATGCTGCCAGAATGTTGTTTAGGTAGGTAATTTCGAATTAAAATTACAAAAATTTTCAATTACCTAATTTAAATGTTTGCAGAATCCACAAAAAAATGCAAACTGGAGGAGCTGCATGCAAGACGTGTTACACCAAAGGACAGTACCGGATGTGGAAAGATCTGATGTCCCGTAAGAGACTGATTATTGCAAAGCTCCATCCGTATTTTCCTCATTCCAGATTATCCCGAGCTTAAAAAGGACGCAAGAAGAATGGAACATTTGTCGTCACTATACGCGGTTTTAACTGAATTTTTCCAGGAAGAACTAGGGCCGAATTTCGTGGAAATGATGGAACTTTATGGTAGGGTAGGTACAGGAAAGCCTCGATAAATTTAGAGAAAAAACCTAATTTTAGCACAATTGAAAGCCTAACAGCGGTACATTTGAGCCGATAAATATCCTGGTCGATAACTGTTTTGAATCTTTAATAACTGTGATACTTTCCCAATAAAACACAAATGTTTTAGATGTGCATTAACAGCTTCAATATTTGCAATCAAGAGCTGCAAAGCTTGGGTACCGGTATTTATTTGGGGGCTTCCATATTCGACCATTCCTGCCATCCGAACGCCCTGGCAATATTCGAAGGCACTACTTTGATTATCAGAACTTTATACGCCTTGCCTGAAGTGGATTTGTCCAAAGTACCAGAGCGGCGCTTTTGAATTGGGCCTCCTTTATTTTCTGAGTGTTTCTAGATCAGAATCAGTTACATCGACGTGTTGGCCTCAACAGAAGAGCGTCAAAAGGAATTGTTAGATGCGTACTATTTTCTGTGCGATTGCCCCAAGTGTTTGCTGGCAGAAGATCGCACGGAGCTGTTTGGGGCCCAGTGCCAGAACACCGCGTGTAAAAGCGCAGTTTGCTGTGAAAAAGCGAAATGTGATAAATGCGGAAAAGAATTGACGCAAAAGTTTATCAATGAGTTTAGAAGCGTTGTGGAACTCACGGAAAATCACCTAGCCACAATGAAGGACATGACATGTATCCTTCGGTGTTTAGCGACGAATTCTAGGGCAATCCGTTGAGGAATCAGTCCTTAACATCCAAATTTGTAGGTCTGGACGTTTGTAAAATTTGCCTGAAAAAACACAAAGGAGTGCTCTACAAGCACCACTTGAGACACATCAAAACTCTGGACTTGGCTTTTGAGGCCTCCATAGATTTAGGCAAATTCGACGACGCCTTGCAGTATGGCTTGGAACTCGCTGAATGCTATGAGTGAGTTCAAAAAGAGCGACATTTCACGCTGCTGGTTGTTTTGATTTCAGGAAACGCTACCCGACGATTCACCCTTTAACAGGTCTCTTGCATTTGAAGCTGGCCAAATTGCTGATGAACGAGCGCAAAGTGAGGGAGTGTGTGCGACATTTAAGGCAAGCAAGTGATATTTTAAAAGTTACGCATTCAAGCACGAGTTCATTGTACAAGACAGAAGTGTTTCCTCTAATTCAGCAATGTAAACTCATGAATGGAATTAAACGCACATAAATGCTTGGTTTGCGATTGACTGGTGTGTGCGCGATATAACACGTTTTGTTGGAACGATGCCAAAACGAATTATGTGGCTCAAGTGGTTCTTGAGAAACTTCGAAAAAAGCAGCGTCATGTTCAAGTGGATCTTGCAACTCAAAAAAAAACCACGCTAATCTAAAACTTCTTAAATTCAAGCCTTTTTTGAGAAAACTGCCAACATTTCCCCATCCATGGTTCACTTTCTAAAAAGGTCATTTATTTCTGTCTAGAATGATGTACAAA